TTTAAAGTCGCATATGACAAACAGGATACACATTAGCACTGTAGTGCTATTCTTGCGACAAACATAGGTATAAGATTAACAATATCACAGTGCAGTTATAAAAATACTATGTACATAACAAGATCAATATCAACATATCACAGTTAGTTTCGACCTAGATACAATATTTAAAGAAACACTTTAAAAACGGATTCTTGTATCTCACACAGGAACCACTAAATGCTGAGGTTAAGACACTATCAAAGTATAATTTACATATATGCTACCATAGCAAAACATACAAATGGACATAATATACACTAATATAGTGTGTATTAAAAAAACAACACAAGCTAGTCTGGCAGACCCTAAAATTTGAAAGACAATAAGGATTATATAAAACAAATGACTGTGTATTTAACAAAATTAACTATTGCACTGTTATTTAAATAAACAAGTGTTGGTGAAGGACTCAAAAGGGAAACAAATAAAAGCAAATATGAAGGCCCTACCTCTTATGGTGCAATAGTTATGAGAAAGGTTAAAGTAGACTAATGACAAACAGCACTACAATAATATGCTTCCGATCTTTTGATCCGCAGGCATAAAAACACGAACAAAAAACTATTAGCCGGTAATTCGTCCTTGTCCCCATATGCTGAAGTGTGACACCCACATACACCTTTCCCTACTCCATAGAATATTGCCAATCCCTACATTTACCAACATTCTAGCTATAAATGCAGGGACGTTTATCAAGTATAGTGTATCTGCGGAACAGACGGTACTAGTTGGTTGGTTGGTTGACAGGTTTTCCGTCTCCATGACTCCTCCCGTGTCCGGATATCGTCTCACTGACGAACGTAGAGGGTACAGTCTTATTTCCCTTTAATCAGTCGCCTGTGACGAAGACGACACGTGACACCGAAGACTAGGGCAACAGGGGATGGTTTTCGCTATCGCGGGTCCAACCATAGTCATGGAAATAAAGAATATTGAAAGTTAAGAAGTCTACTGTTTGTCATAGTGTCAGACTTTCACATACATCTTTTTTCTTGCACACTATCCTTAATAAAGTTAAGAATGTCAAACCGGTTACAAACTGATTATTTGTGCAATTAATAACGGACGAGTCGCTATTTCAACAGTTATATACCACAAATTAAAAAAAAAAAAAAAAACAGATACGTTTCATACTAAAGGACTAAAAAGACATCTAAATTGATAATTCGTCGCAATATTTACGTGAAAAGTCTACTTGTCTGCTTACAATCATGAAAATGGAGAAGAAAAAAATAAAATCCCACACCGTCTTCTTAGTTTTCCTGGGTTTACATATATATATGCTGTTTTCTTTATACATGTGTGTGAGGGTGCGTGTGGTGGTGTGTATGTGTTAAACTGTTGGAAAAGGCCTGCTTTATATAATTTGTATAACTCGCGTTCAACCCAGTTGCAAATAAAATGCAATAATAATGAGTTTAAATCTAAATATTTTAAACCCCAAATCCTGTAATAGATAGAATAACCAGACTTAAGAAAAAAATAAAATGGTACTGATTTCCAACAGTTTAAAAGTTAAATTTAACCAAATAAAATTCTCCCGTATGGGAAAGTTTTTAAGCAAGGCGGAAGGTGCCAAACATATGAATTGTCGTACACATAACATCGTTATTTATATTGATTTTGAAATCTCGTCTTGTCGATGAAGCCATAATATGGGACGCAAAAAAAAAATTTTTTTTTGTTACTCAATGTATAATGTTCAAAGAAAAACAATGTTTATGTATCTAATTTAGTATAGCAATATTGCATACGAATGTCTATTGCATGGTGATAATTATACATAAATACATATCAAGCCAAATGTTTTGTATGTATATTTAATTTACTGCTGATAATAAACGATTTGTATAAGTACAGGTCAGTATACATTATCTACCTAGCTGGGTTTTTTTCCGTTTTTTTTTTTTTTTTTGTTTCTCTTTTTTTCTCCTTTTCTAATGCTCTATAAAATATATGTGTGTTTATTATGATATGGCCATTGTCACTTTCACTTGTGTCGGGTTCCTCTGTTTCGATATTTCCCGCGTTATAAATCTCATGTTCTGCTCGTTCATTAAAATCCATAGAAGGACTTGATAGTTATACTCTGTTCTCAGTTCAATATCGATTATCTTTCTCATAAAACTGAATCTTTCTCAATACTCTTCTTAATGTAAACAAATAGCTTTCTTTATTCAAAAGTGGTAGTGCAGCAGCTCACAGATCGCAATGTGCTTGTGGTAGCTTCTCTGGAGAGCACGTGATGGTCTCCCACATAATGCCTAATTAGTTGGCCACCAGCTGCTAGGAGAGACCCCACCTCACAACAAATAAAGTTATTTTGGCATAGAATTAATACTCTTTATTTAGAGATGTGTTCACTTTAGAATAAACAAAGCTACGAGCGGAAGTACTTCAATACACGTACGTCACTGAAATGGTGGGCAGAACTACTTAGTCAGTTATTCACGTTATACAACATGGACATACGATACAGATATAACCAGATGCATTAGTGATTTTCTAACATGAACCTGCTGAAAAGAAAAGCATAACACAAATAAAAACAAAACCAAAACCGAAATAGATAGTGATGATAAAATTTAACACATCCTTACCCCGCAACCAGCAGGGTCCCTCCCTGCTGTGACCACACCTGATGACACTACAGTCCAGTGTCCGCGTGACAAGGGTCACGTGTATACTACTTCCAACTTAAATTACCAGCAAACACGTGACATACCTTGCCTGCATAGATCAATATATATTCAAAACCTCTCATAGCAAGATTAAACCCATTCAACGACACGGTGTCCCCAGGGACTTGAAAACCTACGTGTTCTTGATTGCTATGAATCAAAGACATACTGATTAAAAGTCTGGAATAGGATAAGATGAACCGGTATTATAATTATTAAAATCATTGTTTCTTTAATTTCTTTCAATTATAAAGAGTTGTAGAATAGCATTGGCAATGAACATTATTACCTTTCAAACAATAATGATAATTAACTTTATTTATTTTACAACATTTGTGAAACACGTCTTTCCAACTTATATTAATCAGTCTTGTTGGCCTGGATGGAAGCGTGCGAGGGGTCTTGCTGTGGGAGGAAACCGGAGTACCCGGGGAAAACCCACGTGGTCGGGTAGTTGACCCCATACCTTTTCACATCCATTCTGAAAATCGAACCTTGGACAATGTCACAATCAAACAATGTTGAAACACATACTGACACATATAGCAAATCATTTTGATACAAAGTACACATGAAAAGTACACGTTCAATCGTGCACGTAAGCATTAGATCATAGAATAATTGTACGATTTGATGATTTAGAATAAACACAAAACATTAATCATATATATGTAATTAACATAATATTACGTAATCGGCATTGAACTCTACCGAAACAAAATTACTCTGCAAAATGACACAATGCTAAGTTAAACAATGTGACAGTGTTGTATGATTCTTACAATGAAAACAATTGAATTTATTCTAAAATCTTCGAATTCAAACGAGGATCAATCATAATCGATAGTACAGCTGTGTATTAAGTGGTATTTAGAAGTGTATCAAAGTAGGCTATAAAATCTTCATCTTTTACTGTACTGAATATATACCAGGGCTGGTCACGTAACATCTCTGTGTACAAACATTCAATTACACTATAAATGATGATAGCTTTGTTTATCTAATCAATTATTTATTTTAGTGTCACGTGTAAATACATATTTACAACCGACAGGTATATGAGACATACAAACAAACATATATTAACTTCCAGTCATAAATGACTTATGAAACACTGGAAATTATAAAACATTCTATATTCTATTCTTTTATTAAAATTTAGTATACCAAAGAGCTTAATAAATAACAACATACTGAATTGTAGTTCATACTACAATAATGACACAGGGAAACAATTTCCTGGTCCACATCCCAACGCTTAATTTATAATGAATTATAACCCCAATCAACAATTCAATTCGTTAACAGAGAATCCAGATGGAAAATAAACAAATGAATACACAAGTTATACCGGTTCCTGATATAAACCAGCTTAATCAAGTGCAGACCAACACTCCTCATTTCTCATGTCAATCAGTTAGTAAAATACACCACAGGCACTTGTAGCTGGGGAAAATTCGCGGCGGAGTGTTATTGAACACATGTGAGCTTTAATGTGTTATAAACTCAGAAAACACTTCCGTTCATCAATTCTTAGCAACTTAAAAATATGTTCAATGGAATGTAGGTGAAAATTTAATATTTCAGCGTTTGATAAGGATTTTTAACATAAACAACGAAATAGGTTGAAGACAACGTTTTCTTATTCGGAGTGGCTTCGCTAACAGATCGTTACACTATACAGTATGCGATTTGATTTAAACTGGTTATCTTAATAAAAAAAATCTGTAAAAGGTTACTGTTTTTTTATCTACATAAGCCTATTTAATAGAATAAGTTATTGATTTATTTATCACTATTAATTTATGGCATATTTCGTAAATATTAATTGAAAATAATACTGGTTAACGAACTCCCGGTTTTTAAACTTTAAATCTATTTGGCCGTGAATACATGTTAAACTTTATCTTAATTGGTGCATAAAATTAGTAACGAGCCGTGATCTAATCTCTGATGAATAGTCAATCTCTAATGTATAACCATGTTTCGAGTCATATTTTTTCCTGTGAATACACGGAAAACCTAATCATTTGGGGAGATTACCGCTGTTCTTTTGTCCTCCCTCGCGTAAGATTTTTATCTAGGTAATTTCGTTAAACGAATGCTCATCAATCACACATATGACTTGTCAAATTATCTCTTAAATTCAATGAGAACTCAAAGAATATATTACTTGTGGGCTGTATGCTATCATTAAATCATGACAACATGTATTTTGCATCATTTTCTATAAATTGCATGCGAGGGAGGTAAAAGTAACAGCCATTTTCATCGCTTCGCACGTTTTGAGACGGATGATAGTGGTGTAATAATTTTATTGGATTTTGCTTAATTCTGCTCATTTTCCTGTTCAAGTTTCCTCCAGGAACCGAGGTAAATACCTGTTCTATGTTGATGTGTTGTCTGCTTTGTTGTGACTTTTCTTATTTGTCCGAAATCGGCCCAGATCTGTGGAATGTCTTTGTTGAAATCGGGGATTCTCGAGCTCGTGTGTGACACTGCTATTTGCCTTCCGTTTTCTCCGTTGATTAGTTTAGAATATTGACAATTGTCGTATGTTAGTCGTTAAACAGTAGCTTTTTTACCTACATGGCCAGTCATTAACGATTTGATTGACACGCTAAGAGATTAGATCATTTTTATGTGTTAGAAATCGGAAGTTCTTTTTATCTTTTAGAATCCTTGTGTGTACAGTGGTTTGACATGTCGATTGAGAGTAAATTGATGTGTATATTACTGAACTAACCACTGTGTCCGTTTCTGACAGATCACATGATGTCGACCGAGAGGGGCACGGTGAACGGGACAGGGGGCCGGGGGAGGGGCAGAAGATCTCGTGGGGGTACCACCAACAACACACCAGTCGTCAGTGATGACGGGGCCCAACCCGGCACTAGTTCCTCTGGGTCCAGCCCTTCCGACTCCCAACCGGCTGTCGTCGTTCCCAAACCAACCCCTAAATCTTCAAAAACAATGGGCACCAGCTTAAAAAGGTAACATTTCCCGTCTGTTTTGGTATAATATGTATACGCGAAGAAATGTTAATCCCGGTTCGCTCAGTATTCCACGAGCGTTGTGCACTGAACTGTATATACACACACAAAGTCAGCTCATTTGCATATAAGCTTTAACATTAATTTTTCTGTAATCTACTAGTTGTTTCTGTTTGAGTCGCACATCATTCGATTTCTCTCGTCATAATCTTTAGTTTGGTACAAAATTTACAAAAATCGGTTCAGTGATTGCAAAGAAATGAAGTTTTGTGATTTTAGCATAGCTTGCACACTAGTACGCCATGTTGTGTTGCATTGATCTGACATGGAGGGGAACCGTCGAGCACCTACTTAGTGTTTTCTAATTCTTTACTTAGGATCCAGAAAGAATTGGCTGAAATCACTTTGGACCCTCCTCCGAACTGCAGGTGAGTTCATTTATGTGTTTGTGTAAACAATGACTGCTGATTATACCATTTCATATATTTTTTGTAAGCTAAGTCAACATATTTCACATTCAATAGTCATTAAGCAGTATTCAACTCGTCAGTAAAAAGTTTTCAATAAAAAGAATTAGTTTTGTGTTTGTACCTATCAAAGCGGTATTCAACTCTTAAGTAAAAAGTTTTAAATTGAAAAGAAATCAGTTTTGTGTTTGTACCTATCAAATCTGTATTCAACTCTTTCAGTAAAAATTTAAAAACAGAAAAATCGGTTTTGTGTTTGTACCTATCAAAGCTGAGAAACACATTTTCAAAATTTGATTTCTTGATATTAAAATAAATGAGACTTGTAACTTCGTGAAATTCAAGTGACACCTTCAGTTTTAAAGTTACTAGCTAACGTTATGTTATAAATCCATATACCATGAAAGTATCCACTTGAGTTTTGTTAAAAATTCAATTTGTTGGTTCAACTTGATTTTAACCTAAAGTTTGTTAAATTGATTACCTCGGCATCGTCATCATCTGTAGTCCTGGTGATCTTGACAATTCTATTGAATAAAAAGCGTTGATTATCTCGTCAACAATCAAAATATCATATATACAGTTACACTGAGGAATCATTACTTTAATAATCCAAGGATGCTATGCTATTTTAGCTTGTTTTTGCATATGGTTTAACTTTCATTGAATAAAGATGAATTAATTTGTAATTTTAAATTTTAATCTGGTTTCCTTGGGGATCTTATTGTTGTTTAATCTATAGCTGTATGCCATAGTTCTTAATTAAATTAAACGATGCTTGGAATGCAACGACGTCTTGTAAGGAATTCTAAGGTCTTTTCCCATTTTATTTAATTTAGTTTTTTGCACACTTTAGATAAATTACCTTAGTGTATCATAACCTGACCTGAACTGGTGTATGTATTTCAGTGATTTTAAAGGCTCAGCTATCTTAGTCCTGTACTCACACTATCCATGTGGGACTCGCTCAGATATATCTGTTATTATTGGTACTTGTCTGATTTTTGGAATTTATGCTCAGGACTTGACTACAAAAATACTGTATTTCATAGGTAATTGGATCAAATCATTGGATGGTTATTTAGTAAAATATTGAGGTCAGCTTACGGTATATATCTGATAGCAAATCCATGCCCAGAGTTTAACAATCACACCAGTATCTCGGCATTACAAACAGATTTAATGTTGTTTCATTATCCTGTACTTCGAGCAAGTACATTTTTACTTAACTTTGTTCAGTAGCTAGAGTTGGAGTTTCATATGGCATGTACTGGTACACACGTACGTTCTGTACTGGTATCAGTTAACAGTACCTCTACATTGTAGTTCTATAAATTGAAGGAAAGCTTGTGTGTTTTCTTATCAAGTTTATCAACCTGTAAATATCTTTGGCAATTTTGAGGGGAAGTTGCATTATAGATGGTTGGGGTGACCTCACTGAACACAATACTGGAGGCCCAGTATCATTGCTTGCCATCCAGAGCAGTTAGGTGAACATATTTTGCTATAGACAACAATAGACTGGTCTGTCTCAGCTTCCTGAGAAAAGCAAACTACCGCTAATAGGAATCAAGCCACACACATCTTCACCTGGTCATGTGATTGTAGTCTGACGCAAAACTGGCTGAGCTATTGTAGCCCCAAGGGTTGAAACGATTCATTGCATTTGGACATGTATCAGGATATTCGCTCTCCCATTGAATTTCCGATATCTCTTTTTCAATATGATACAATATGCCATTTAGTAAAGTAACTCGAAATAGATGTTAATACATATAATAAACTAGTCTTAAACGTTTTGGAACATCTTGAGCTTCTGAAGCATAGCTGAATTGACTACAGTACATTGTTACTGTCTTGTTTGGTCTATAATCTTTATAACATCTCGTCACACTATTTTCAATCTTAGTGTACATAGAATTATATAGTACAGCGGGAAAAGTTGGTCAATTTCTTATCAGCTCTGCGTGTGTCGGTGCTTGTATGCTCCACTCTGGTAATTTTTCTGATGAAGATGACTGTGTAGTCATCAACTTGTGATACTGAAATCTCCCACGGGTTATGTTACAAGAACTTTTACTCTAAAGTCTTAAATTCTTCCAAAAAAATTACCATATATATCTTTTGTATTTTTTACAACAAGAAAGACTTACATTGTAGAATATATTCTTTTTTACTCTCATCTTGTTGGTTTGGCCTAATGACGTTTTAGGTGTTGACAGGTCGTTAAAACTGTAATAACCCATTAGTATCCATAGTATCTATGGAAAATTTCAGTCTACCTCATGAACTTTTTTCTGTAAACTTTTTCACAATAATGGTACGTCAGTGTAAGAATTATTATGGCTGTCCATTATTACGACGTAATTATCTTTATAACCGTAAAGGTATACTTTATGCAACTTTATATTCTGTAAATTTGTCCTGATGAAGGCCACATAGTGGTTGAAAGATGTCGACGAATTAGTCTACATTAAAACTACAACAAGTGTTACTGGATATTGAGAATCCTTCGCTTTATGTTTAAATTGTTATAATAGTAATAATATTGTCGGTAATTAGTAAGTAAATATTTACGATATACTTCACATTGTGATCTTATTGTTCTGTTACATTAGTGTATCGTAGTTGACTTTTTACGTCAGTATTAAATATCACTAACATCAGGTGTATCATATTAAAAGTAATTCAATTTAAAGGTATGTATCATGATATATCCGAGCTTAAATGTATTATTACAGTCCTAGTGGACTCTAGTGCACTGGATAGTCAAGGTACTTTTATGTTCAATATTTGTCTACATGTTACTACTAGTAGCAGGGAATTTCCATTTTTCACTGGATTAGAGTGGTGCATTTTGCCTCATTTTGGAGAGTAAATCAGTGAATTGAGGAGATTTTCAGGAGTAATTGGCAAATTTTAGAATTTTGCTTAAATATAAAATAATTTCAATTTGGAACGTGGCCCATTATCGGCTCCAGAAATCCCTCGGAATATACCTGGATAGGTTTCAACATATCAGTTAAACTCATGAATATGGATTAGAATGATACAGATCTGTGTTGTATGTAGTCATCTTTATTTAATTTATCTACGTCTTCCCATTTTACCACATAAATAAAACAAGGTTTTATACAAAGCATATTAGTCTTTATCACACAATTTCCTTGTTGTTCAGCGAATACACACATCATATCTTTACATAATACATACGTAATATAGTTTATTGCAACCGTCACTTCAGAAAATGAAATGAAGTCACACAGATGACTTTGTGACGTAACATTGGATAACATAGATATAGACCAGACATATGACTTCAAGTCACGCATAGAAATGTCTGTTTTCTGTCATATTTGCCTGAAAAATCCATCACTGAATAAAAAGGAAGTTGAACTTGATTCCATTGAATATGTGATGAATGAAGCTTGTCACAAATTTTTCACCTTAGCTCACTTAAGGCTAGTTAAATGAAAAGTTCTTAAGACTTGTAAGTTCACAGAAACTCATGTGAGATCTTGTATGTCAATTTCAGCCTACCTGGTAAAACATATCAGCTGGTTAATTTCATGGTAATGTCCATGCTCGGTGTTTATCACATCTATTGCATGTTATTTTGTTAAGAAAATTTTCATCGTGTTTTAATCAGCTCACCTCTGATATTGCCAATAGCATGTAACATGATGACTCTCTTGACTCATTGACAGATAAAACTGAATTCTTAAAAACTGAGAAAATATTCTGATGTTTTCTGAGCTATAGGAGAAATAAGCTGTTATCAGCTGTAAAATTGAACAACAAATCACTGCCTTCTTACTAGTACAGTATCCACCCACACACAACAGAGTACAATATTTTTGGGAGTCATATATTGGAGTCCAAGTTTCCACCCACACACAACAGTCCTCGTATATTACAGCGACTTTGGGAGTTGTATATTTGAGTCCCAAGTTTCCACCCACACACAACAGTCCTAGTATATTCACCTACACACAACAGAGTACAGCGACTTTGGGAGTCGTATATTTGAGTCCAAGTTTCCACCCACACACAACAGTCCTAGTATATTCACCTACAGACAACAGAGTACAGCGACTTTCGACTTTTGGGAGTCGTATATTTGACTCCTGACTTTCCTGTTGGACTCGTTGAAATCTAAAGGACCCACTATATCTCTTAGTAATGGGAAACAACAATTTTTTTTAAATGGTTGTTCTGGTCTTGTCTGAAAAATGCAATAAAAATTACTGACTGTAGATATTTGTTGATGGGGAGAGGTATTTAATTACCATTCTATCACAGATGATGTGTGTGATTAATTACAACTATGGTATGTGCACACAATCTATATAGCATCAGTCCACAGAGACTGCACTGCAACATTTACAAGATGGTAATGAATGTCAAACAGCAGATGCATGAGGAAAGGTTTAGTCAAAAGGTCAAGGTTATATCCCTTCAGGTTCAAATTCCAAACGGTATGTTCTCTTTATCTAAAAAGACACTTGGGGAACACATTGGTATTTGTCCACGTAGATTAACAACATCTTTGACGTTTTCTCTCTATATTAATGATTTTGTCCATCTGTCATGAAAACTGGCACACAGCATCACCACTTGTATGAATTCACATCACAACTCCCTGGGGTCAGAAACAAGGTCACTGTTACTATAAATATTATAAAATTATCAAGTTTCTTATCTTATTATGGTAAACCAAATTTTCTTCCTGATTGTAATCATCCTCTCAGGTACCAGTGAGTGTATCAAATTTGTTAGGTTAAAACCAGACAACTAACAGTTGTTGTCGGAGTTTACAGCATGCATATCTTTACTGCATTGACTTTTATTACTTAATATTCCAACATCAGGAAACTTCATTTAACGGTTGATTTCCAACATTACTTTTTGTTTTTAGGATTTGTATCATTGGTCTAGAATTAAGGAAACTATATTTCTGT